TTAGAAAACATGAAATCCAAATAATGTCGAAACTTGAAGTTCTTAACATGATGTATATTTTTCAGCCCAAAATCATAATACATATGCACTTGTTGAAATATCAATTTGGAGGTTGACACAATTAGAACTTCAGGTTCTAGAATTTCCCTTTTTTAATTTAATGCACATGCGGCCGAAACTTACAGTTTGGATTAGACATAATTAGAACTTCGAGTTCTAAGATTTTTGAACATCAGGTCATATTAGGAACTTCAGGTCCTTAATTATAAATCATTGAAATGAAAACAAATAACTGAATATAAGAAGAAAAATAAAATAATAATTAAAATACCGTAATAAAATAAACTGTTGGAACTTCTTGTTCCAGTTAAAGAAAATCAAAGAACTCCAAGTCTTGATTTGGTCTCTAAGAATTGCAGAACTCCAATTCCTTGTATAGATATTATATAGATTGAGAACTAAGAGACTTCGAGTCTTTATTTAATTATATAAGAATAATTTAGGGACTTCAAGTCCTTGCATAAAATAAAAATGAAACCAAATAAAAGAACCAAGTAAAAGTAAAATACGACAAAAATAAAATATTACAATAAAATAAATTGTTGAAATTTCTGGTTCCAATGAAAAATGAATCAAAGAGCTTCAGGTCTTCATTTGTCTTCTAAGGATCTTCTGGCCCTTCCATGATTGAATAAGAATTGAGGAACTTCTAGTCCTCCATTAATATTTATATTATAAGGATTGAAATCTAAGGAACCTCTGGCCCTTGTATGATTGAATAAGAACTGAGGAACTTCTAGTCCTCCATTAGTTGTATAAGAATAAAAATTCTTGAGTCTCTCACTTTGCTCCTTAATGAAACTCTTAGATTTCTAACAAATAATAAAATACAGTTGAAATCTTGTAAGTAGATACACAAAATAGATATATAAAATAAACATGCAAATTCATCCTTAAAGTTCTAATTGATATACTTTAATACATATGTCCCAAAACCTTCTGGTCTTGGATTACACATAATTAAATATTATAATTGAGATGTTTGAACTTCATGTCCTTTTTTAGGACATCAGGCTCGTATATAAAATTTTGAAATGACAAAAATAAAATACAATAACAAAAGTAAGACAATAATTAAGTTGATGTAACAAAATAAATAGTTGAAACTTCTAATTTCAATAAGGGAGATTGACAAACTTCTGGTCTTCTATGCTTTTGAGAAATGAGGAACTTCATGTCCACATACAATTATATTACAAGTGTTGAGAATTCAGGATCTTCTACTCCTAATTAATTGAAAATGAATTGAGGAACTTGTAACCCCCAAAACTGTAAATATGATAGTGCGCTCCACTAATAAATCATTTAGAACTTATGGTTCTATAATTATTACATTTGCTCAATGTTAAACTCCGGCTTTAACTCATTAGGATGTGAACTTCAGGGTCACATATATTTATACAAAGATGTAGACTTTTCAACCTTATATTTCATTATACATAAATTGAGATCTTCATACCCTTTTTAGATGTATAGGAATTTAGGATCTTCAGGTCCTTTTCCTTTAATTGTGTAAAATTTAGGGTTTTCAAGCCCCTTATAATTGAGGATCAAGATCTTCCGGTCTTAATTCCTTTTTTTTTTTCCAGCTTTGTCGTAACAAACATGGAGTGTAACGACTATCATATTTTCATATAAATGTGAACCATGAATATATAATAAATGTACATTAATTGCTTCTGGCAATCATAGTTTTATTTACTTATACATATATATATCTAGGTATATATATATATATACTATATATCATATTGTATTACCATCAACTTTCCAATATAAAATGGAGCCATGTCAAAGTGAAACTGACAAAAACCATGATTAATATATTAAAATGGTCTATTCGTGGAGGATTGACCACATGCTCCTACTTTTGCACCTGCCACACAAGAACAGGTTCCAGCACATCTATACTTGCTTTAGATGTTAGCATGAGTATCAAATTGTGTAGATATGATGGTGATAATAATAAATTGAAGAAGATAAAGTGAAAGGCAGAAGGCTTATCTCTTTGTTTCAGTGGATGTTCATATCCCACTATGAATGCCAAGAAGCTCAACACCTCAGCTGGTTTCTTTTGGTGAAGACTAGCATGGTATACTGGTCCTTGTTTTGGATTTGTGTCTCCTGGAATGATCTTCAATTTTCTTCTCTGGTTGGTTTGTTTTCTGTAAACATAGTATGCTACCAAAAGGAGTTTGTATTTACACACAGGGAAACCATGAAAACTTAATTGCCCAGAAAGCCTCAAGAAGAGGATGAGTAAAGTGGAGGCAGGGACGGACCCACAGTGGGGTTAATGGGGTCAAACGACCCTATGGACTCCATGGAAGTAAGGTAGAAGGTCCCCTTCAATGGTTGTGTGACCCCATGAATGGCTGAAGGAGAAGGCTCTGTCTGAGGAAGAAGAAGTTGCCTAGCGCTTCTGTCTTTTAAAAAAAAAAACTTGCTAGCCAAAAGGTAGAAGGTCCCCTTCAATGGCTGTGTGACCCCATGAATGGCTGAAGGAGAAGGCTCTGCCAGAGGAAGAAGAAGTTGCCCAGCGCTTCTGTCTTTTTTTTAAAAAAAACTTGCTAGCCAAAACGGCGTCGTTTTGGCGTAGCCCATAAAAGACCTGGCCAAAACGACGTCATTTTGGTCCAGGTCTTTAAAAAAAAAATAGAACAAATTTCATTTAACTCTTCAAACCCAAATCCCCTCCGGACTTCAACCTTTCAGAAACCCCTATTCCTAAACCCTCAAACCTAAATCCCCAATCTCCACCCCCCCCCC